AGGTTATTGAGAAAAATGGTGAACGAATATCATATTAAAACTTTTGTAATAAATCTACTACTTATCGGCTTTAAAATGACGCATTATTCACTTTAATCGATGCAATACTTGTGAAACTAACGTGATTTTAAGAAAGTTCATTTTTTTTGCACACCACTGTATAACGAGGCGGGCTATAAACTACGTAGCCCACATATAATACGTAAACCCTTGGTTGTGTCGTAGCAATAGCTCAAGAACACTCAATGCGCAATCAGTGAAGTTTGTCAACACCGACAGAGCGTATCATGTGCAAGTGTTCTAGCTCTTGGACCCGTCCATATCGTAAATAAACAACGTATCTTATCAACTTTTTTGCTTTGTCTCGCTGACTTGCATCATTTTCGCGGATGGATTGTAATATATCATTATAATCGTTAGATCATCAATTCCTACATCCACATGTGGATGGCTCATCAAACAACGCCCGTAGTAGTAGAAAGATCCCGCGGGCTCCGTTTACGTCCCTGTCCATAACCGTATGACAGTTTCCGCATTTATAAACTCTTCTTTCGCCGATGTTTTGTATGTTCCCACAATAGCTGCAGGTCTTGGAGGTGTACGCCTCATCCTGGATGATTACCATCGCGCCTGTTTTGGCCAGGTGAGCATGCTCCGAACCACTTTCGAATTGATTTTTCGTCGATCTCATTTCACCATGTTCTTTACATTGAATTCACGACATCGTAGTTTTGGACCAAGTGATTCATCGTTTTCTTGTGAAGCTCGTTACGTAGATTCCTGATCTTTCGAAAGATTCTCGCGATCGCGCCATCTAATCTCTTCGCCTTTCTTTTTTTTTCGCTTCGACGTGGAATTGTTTAGAAGATTTCTCTGGGAACTTAACCTGTCGGCGTGTAACCCTAATCGAACTAATCTCTGTGCATCATTCTTTCCAATTTCTGTTACACCTTCAGTAGGTGAGTACGTGACGACGGGGTTCGCACCCCAGGATCAATGGGTACGAACTTTTCATGAGCTTCCCTGTTCCATTTTGGTCTTTCATGGACCCATGATAGGGTTCAATCGTTTGTTTTTCGACGATAGGTAACTTGCAATCACAATTGATTTTTTTTAAATGGCCATTTGTTATGTTTTCGTTGGGTTTCGAAATGTAAAGGTCGTAGATCTCTCTTGTTTTGTGTGATAATGCAGGGTTTCTTTCTTGGCGTGCGCATCGATTGGTTGTGTAGGTACAAGTGATTCCAATCCCTTCTCGAAAAATTTTGCGATCGGATGCTGATGGTATGCGCGAGATCCTTCTTCGACTTGAATTTTAATATCTTTCTGATTATAGTTTTTGATCGCTTCATCCACTGTTTCGTCGATGATGTTATTGGGGATCTCTTCATAGACACCTTTAAGCTTGAGTATAACGTGCACAAGATAACGAAGGTATTGGGTGCTCGAACAGTTGAGGTAAAGTCGGGTGGGTGTTTTTATTACTTGCTCTGGTAAATTCAGTTGCCCTTGCGGATTCGGTTGCATCTGCACCTACACCTGAATGCGTGCGACCACTGTGTTATAGATCAATCTCATCAATCCCATCCATTGCTTCAGCAATTGTTTCTGAGCATGATTCGGTTACAATCTCACGTTCAGTGTCCTGTTCACACTTTCATCTTTTTTTTTATCTTTTTTTTTTTGTTTTTCTCACTGTCGAGATGGTGATGTTAGCATTGAGGGGAGAGATTATGTGTTACGATTTGGATTTTCAAATGAGCAAAATATTGCAATGGTTAAAAGAGTTCGGGGGATAATGTCTTTAAATATGCTTATGGTTGTCGGTATTTGAATGGCGGAACCGAAAACACGCATAAACATGCAATCTTATATGGAGCTTACGCGCATGAAGCATGCATTCTTATACGGAGCCTGAAACATGCAACCTTATATAAAGCCTACGCGCATGAAACATGGATCGCGGTCACAAATCGTTGCAAAATAAGTTCATGGGTAGACACTTGCAATTCCATGCAATTCGAATTTTTTTGATACGTCCCGTTGTCTTTGTAAATATATTAGAGGATTAAACAAAAGTGATATTAATTCGATTATTGCATTAATTCCGATTATAACATCGTAAAATCCATCCTAAATTTTAAATTATTACGATAATAAAACAGCCATCTCCAGGTGACGTCACATGTTCATGTTGCACGCCCGCGGTCAAAGTCAGAAATCAAAATACCTTCGCGTTTTGGAATCCCGCACGCGTGACAATAATCACCTGTCAAGAAAATATTCAAATAAATTCTGCCTCTGGTGTGAGCGCTATGTTACTGTATATGTATATGTGCAAAATCGGCGTATAATCATTTATTTCCCCAATACAGATCAGATATACGCACACTGGTTAAAAATCAGTACTGCAGTTGTTAAAGTATAGTTGTATTTTATCGAGATACCCGGGATACTGTCCATTCGGTTGACTCGAAGTATTGTTGGGCTGTAAAATGATAATAATAAGACCACGTCAAGTCAAAACAAAAAATTAAGTGACAGCATGCTTGTATAATGAATCTAATGACATTGAAAAACGCGTTGAGTTATACTTGATGAAACTATGTTATAATGCATAAGCCACGAGATAATCGGATTTGAATTTATATGGTGTGCATATATAACAACCAGAGAGTCGTCATGTTATTGACAGGGTTTAATAACAGGTACACGATATTTAATTATGAAGTATGTCGATGTCTGTCACATAATGAATATTACGAATGGGTGCTCAAATACATCTGAAGAAATTCACCTTCCAATTACGGAAATGCTCCGTTATTTTATCTATCGGTTCTTGATTCTAGTTTTTAGCCCGTCTCTCAAAGTTTTGATATATCTCCTCTTAGCGCGTCCAAATTCAGCTTTTCCATACTCGCTGTCTTTTTTTTATCTTCAGTTGTCGTTAGCTTGACAGACATATCATACCACTTATTCATGTTCGCCCACACTTCAGGTATGATCTTCCCCGTTGAAAGTCTAGGAACATTTAAATGAAGTTGGGACCAATTCGTCGCGAAATTTCCTGGTTGCGTATATCTTCGTTTTTGAGGGTGGTGGACGGCAGAAATTGTTCTATTCTGGAACAAAGCGAGGACGGAAGGTCCCGATGTTGAAAGAATCCAGCATTTCGAAGAAAACAAGTTTCCTTTCTCGGTCAACAAACTCGTCAACTCCAACCCCGTGCACTCTTAGTAAAATTTTTCGAGGAAATACTTTCGATGTCTCCGTCAGAGCGGTGACAAAAAACACACAATTTGTCAGAGCACCTGAAACTCGTTCTATTTTAATGTCCGTGACATATTTGACATCAGACCAACCGGACAGAGCACTCCGTAGCAGAAAAAGAATATCTTTGTCATAATCTTGTTTTCTAATGTGGATTAAGAGGGAAAATTAGAAAGGAAAGAACGGATAAGTACAGAGTGTTCGGAGAAAGGATGAGGCTAAGAAGAATAAATGAAACTTCTTGGAAAGAGAAACAAAAGGGGTATAGGACAGGCAATTTTCTCTCAAGCGGTAACACATAAGTAGTGATACTTCATCGTATAATCGATTCTCGGGGCCCCACGTCCGCGTCTGAAACGCAGCGATAGTTGCTTGTGAAGAAATAATAATAATGGCAAGGAGCAAACCAAACTGACGGCAGCAGTAAATCATGTTATTTTCAAGGCAAAGCTTGCTAAGCATACTAATTGAACTTTGCCAGGAGACTACAGTATGTCATCTCGTGACAAATTGATCGCTTTTTGTTGATGGATTCTGGGGTCCATATAAAGATGTTTTGCCAAGGGATCATTGATTAAATGAAGGTGAGCAAGCAGTCTGCTACTGGAATTGGATTATTGATACAGATTTTCTAGCCTTGACGATCACATCTCAAAATTGTCTCCAAAGCAAACAAGTTAAATCCTCGATTACCCAACTTTGAATTGTTGTACAGGGGGGAGAATGAATAAATGCCAATATTAATAAGAATTATTATTCTTGGATGATTGTTATCTGTTTACACGTTTCGAAAGGCACGCGTTATTTCTATCGGTATAACTAGTTATCGTATTATCAGAATTATTTTATAACGTATACCTTTATTATATGTAAAAACTTTATTTTATCGAAATACTGTGTGTTGATGATATACCGTAGTATCGATAAGGATTTATTAGATCTGTGGATAGGACAATGACGCTCTCTTCTTTTGTTTGGTCGAAAATACCTTATCTATTACGCTACATGCAGCGCAAGACATGTCATCAATCTTTGTGCAAGTATTTGTATGAATATGTTGATATCAAAGTAAAGAGTTTTTTACACAATCGATGCGTGCAAAGAAGTTTATGTATATCAGGTTTTATAGAGTTTTACTAATGATTATATCATAACCACATCGATAGAATACGATTCGCCCCGTAAATTTATACTATCGCTAGCTTACGTTGTTGATTGGTTTCTGCTCTATTACTGCTGCTGCTACCCTGCTGCTTGCTACATGACTCATGATTATTGTCTCTATAATATCTGAACGATTATTAAAATCCTGTAAACGCTAATTGTTGCCGTACTACATGCAAAGTGTTAAAACAGATGATCATGTTGTGTCCGAGTCGGGACCTGTCCCAATCACTCAGTCCAGGTCCCCAATCATAAGACTGTTAAGGCATCCAAATAAAACAGACAATACTTTCCTAATAGTCAAGCATACAAGTGCTTCGATTCCTAACGAAGGTTAATGCAGTAATGTATAGACAAAACAAAACTATACGTAAGAAGGCAACTATTGGAATTAAATACAATTTGTAACTGATTACGGATACCGAACACAGAACGTCCTAAAAATTCTAAATTCACAAACAATTTGTCACCATGTTTGCTTAGTCTTTGTCACATATAACATCCGCTTGTCGTTCAGATCTCGAACTTTTACATCTCGACATTTTGTGCACCGAGCAATAATTATTTTTCCGGTAACAACAATGATTATGTATGACACATTGCGTTTCAAATAATTAAACATTAATAAATTGGGATTCAATGACCTTGATATCATTCTTATTAACTACCCGCTATGATCCGTGAAACAGTACATCATCTTGCACGGTTGTAAGTTTAGCAGCGTATAGTTTCGTAGTGTTTAGTATTATAATTAGGTCACACTAACTGTTATCAATATATTGACATATCAAATATATGCAAACGAATAATAAAATGTTGTTATAGAACTGATTTACTTGTCCCCTGAAAATGCTTTATTGTATATCCAAATCTGATATATGGTAATACCAAGGGGGTTAAGGTGATGTGCCACATTAACATATTCTATTTGTAATCAACTGAATGGCGTAAAAATAACAACAACAATAATAATAAATAATAATAATAATAACAACTACAGCGATAATAATATTAGCAATGGTAATTGCGAAAGTAAAGAGAGATTTCCTCATAAAAGAAAGACGAAAAGACATAGTGTGTGATTCGATCAAAGAGACTATTACTACCCACCATTACCACCCAGCATTACTATCCACCATTACCATCCACCATTACCATCCACCATTACCATCACCCACCATTACCACCATCAACCGTTTGTTGTAGCGAAATGTACAACAAAAATATTACAATGCACTTGACTGGATAACGACGATCGCTTGCTATATTAACTGCGCCGTCTCCTTGGCGTATTCGCAGTAAGTAGTAGCAGCAGCAATTTTGCGGGGGGGACGCGGAAAGGGGGATGAAACGAATAGATACGGAATCCATCTCTATTTATAAGTTGAAAATGAAATTCATTGCAAGTCACTAAAACTCTAGCCTGCAGGGATCATCTGTCAATCGTTCATCAATGACCATCAATAAGTACAATGAGTCACACAATAACTTGCACAACCTCACTTGGTTCGTGCAAAAGAATTCAGCTGGTAATAGTAAACGGTCACACTTGCAAGCTCTTCGCAGTATAGCATCTGGGTTCCACCAGCGTTTATCTATTCTTGCGGTCGGTTTAGTTCTATCTTTCTTTCTTTCTTTCTTTTCTTTCTTTCTTTCTACACAGTTTTTCCATAAACCAACATTTTTGGGTTCATTAAAAACTCGTGACAGGTTCATGGTCACCTTCTATAATTGGATATTTTGATATCACTTATATAATATCTTGCCTCATAATTTACAATTTCTCCAAAAATTCTTGCTTTCTTTCGTACGCCCGAAACCTGCCCTAGAGCTGGTTTTATCTTTCCAAGTCGTTGTCGAAAGAGAGAAAACCAAAAAAGAAATGGAACATTCGTTTCCTTAATTTCCAAAGTTATGCTTTTGTAAATCAATCTCTATCCTTACTTCCCGACACCCAGTTTGCACATAATACATCTTTTTACCTTATAATTATCTTCTTACTACGAGTTATATGCCCATTACCCCTACAATATAAACAATATAAATACATACTCAGCAAGCTTGATACGTAAAATAGCTACCAACTGACTTGTTCTTACCTCTTATTTACGCCGGACGTACTCATTGTATATAGGAAGGGGATTTGAAAGTAAGGGCTAGCGATTTAAAATATCAGGCGACACAAAGGCAGCAGCAACTCTAGTAAACAAATACAACGCTATTTAACAACCATTGAATCGCAAAACCATAAATTGACCATACTTCTCCGGCCATTTTCTTGCTATAGCTGTATTATTTGCGAACACGACCTCGAGACCAAAATACGACTTTTTTCTACTACTGCACACAGTTCAAACAACAGGAACAAACCCAGTTTTTTCCTCTTTCCCCTTCCATACCCGGCAGAATGGTCGAAGTTACGAACACTCCAATCCAAACCTCTTCTCAGACTACGGTTACAATACGACCTTCTTCCGACGACGCAAATGTTCAATCACTTCCCCTCACTCCGCCACCTCCAGTACTCCTTTCACACGATACGTTACAAGTACCGCCTAGTCCGACATCCATCAACTCTATTCCTCCCAACATACCAGACCACTACAGAGTCTTTCCCCATAGACAAAGTGCAGTAATTGTCCTCTCGCGTCATCCGTCTGTCAATACCGTCGATGACATCCAACAACCCCTTCAATCGCCCCTTCCCTATGCAACTTCAATATCACAAGGCACCAACATTACAATTCAAATGCTCCTTGCCGTTTTCGCAATCGTCACCATCATAATATACATATGCGTCTGGCGATTCCTGAAACCCAAACAGGCCTGGGTTCACATAATATTTATCTTTATTTTCGTCATTGAAATATGCATCTGGGAACGATGGCGAGCTGTTCAAAGATACATGCCTCGACACAGACGCAACCATAGCGAAACCCGCGTCTCGCTCTGGGCACCATGGAACGATCCCGTGCTACAACAACGCATTGGCGCAAGACAATCCCGTGCAGGAGACGTCTTTGACCCAGAATGCCCACCGGATTATATACCACCGCCGGCTTACGGAAATCTCAGAGATTCGGTGTTGGTGGATCCTGTAAGCGGACGGGTTGTCACGGAAAGCGAATATGCAGCTCGAGAATCTGGAACGATATTCGAGACGAGCGAACGGGGTAGTAGTGTTTTGCCAGAATACGACGAATTGTCGTTGCGATCTAGGCGATCGAGCACCATGACTTTGAGGGGTGGGGAAAGCTTGAGGGAAAGCGAAAGTGTTGGGCGCAATGCAAGTATTAGAAGCATCAGAAGTATTAGGAGCATTAGGAGCATTAGAAGGAATATGAGTCTTAGGAGTATACCGAGAACGGCAAGCTTGGGGACTGTTGAAAGTGATAACGGCGGCGAAATGAAAGATGTTGATGTAGAGAACACTGTAAGCGGAGCGAATGGAGTTAACACAAACAATAATACTGTGAGTAATGAAGATAGGAGTTTGGAGATACAATCTCCTATGACCTTGGCACGTCCACCGCGAGTAGCACTAGCAGATGACGATGATTCATACGACTGTCCGAATGAATCACCACAGTCTGCGTCGTCTACCCGTCCGCTGATGCGGTGGCATTGAGATCATTTGATCATTTTATTGTATTTTTGTTTGTCGTATACAACCCTACAAAAAAGTAATACTAGAAAGGGTTGTGTAATGTATGTATGTATTTGAATGGGTCAAAACACTCGGAGAGAAGGGGGGGAAAAGTAAAGAAAAAAAGTCAATAGTAACTGACTAGAGAAACTAGTTTATTGTTTTCGTTACTCTGTAAATTATTACACAAAAACTTTGAAATAAAAAAAAAAGTATTCATATTTTCATATTCTCGTCATTATCAATTGGAATTAAAAAATGGAAATGATCTACCTGGTTTACTCGATAGAGACTACGTGAATTGTCAATGGCTAGAGAATTATAAAGCATAAGCCATATTTTCCCCGGGGAGTCGCGGATATTTACGGCCAATAACTTATCTTCTTCCCCATCAATTTATCAATGACCCCTGAAATACGCTGGGCGTAATGATCGCTTTTCCCTGGTATCGTAGTTAGCATGACATTGTTTCATGATTTCTTGACAAGTTGTATTATGTAATGATTATGTAAAATCAATTCATATACCACATACCCGAATGGTATTTTCTTTAAATGACACTCATACTCCCTGATTTACATTCATATGGAATCTAAATATCAAGCCGAGTATTAGCAAATTTGAAAGCATAAGCTCAAAAGAATTTTACACAGCCAATCTCGTTAATTCTGGTCCCCACAATTCGTTAATCACAGGTAAATCACTGTAATACGTAATCGGAAGTATTTTTTTTTTGTTAATCTAAAGATTAAAAATCTTATCAGTTGATAAGCAGATAACTTTCTGTAATGTTTGCAATTCGAAAAACTCTTATTGTGCGTACAGAGAATCGCAATAAAATGCTAAGCATCGGTGTGTGTAAACCGAATAATAATTTTTGGTTCCGGCAATAAAAATTGTTCAGTGTCCGATTCGAATAATTAATGCAGCTTGCTTCCAAACAATTGTCAAAAGATTATTAAAAAGTCACCTACAGCAAAACATACAGATCAAGTCTAAGACATTCTATTTTAGGAATAATCAAACATGAATTATCTTTTTGCCTTAATTTGTGATTCATATGTATTAATTACGTCCTTTCACATCAGATTTGGCAATCGAGGTTGCTAAAATTGGCAATCACTGTAGGGAGGTAGAGTTTATTTCTCCAACGTAGCATCGGCGATTAACAGAATAGTGTCGTGTGTCAAATTAAAATCACGCGCGCAATGTACGAATATAGTTTTTCTATCGCCATGTCATCAGTCTTGTTGTATGCACACTAGTCTTGTCAATTAACTGCATAGACTACATATGAATCTCTACTTGCAATAGCTAACCATGTATTTCAATCATGTCGTAGAGAATATTGTTAACTGAATTCTTTTACGTGCGAATAAACGACATCATTCATTTTATGGCACGTACAATATACTGAACTTTCGAAAGCCTATATCTTTTGCATATGCCTTACCTTCAACCTGATACAGTAATGTCGCATGAAAGCAAACTACAGTGTGTTGCCACCATCCAACAATTGAAACAATGTGTAAACACGCACTTGCTATTTCATTACACTCTTATAAGGACATGGATGCCCATCTAACACATATCCATTATAAACTGACGTACAACAACAGTAAAGTATTGTTTTTACTACAACTTTATTCTATATATAACATGCAATGTTTGTCAAACAATTATTTGGCAAGAGCAACATTAAAAATAAATACTTTTTGTCCCAATTCGGAAAAGACACGTGTAATTTATGCAGTTAAGGGTGAAATTGCATTTTGAGCACCTACTCCTGTCCGCTTATTATATTTATTTTGTATAACGCAATAATTAATTCTAGCTACATGAGAGTAATTAATTCTAGCTACATGAGAGTGAATTAAATTCATTATTTATAAATCCTTCTGGTAATAAATGACTCTAGTAATTATAAGACTGTTCAAAGATGATTCTATTAGAGAACACTTTATATGATTATTATAAATCTGAGACTCAATTTTTATTGTCAAACAGAAACGATCAATTAAATAACGTCAAAATAATTGACGTGTGGAATTAAAAATCCGGAGGAATGCCTCAAGAACTCTGAATTCCTGCAGACATTCTCCATGGATAATTTTTTTCTACCTTGTGCTCGATTATGAATACTATCGGATCTGTTGCAGTAGGTATCAATATCGGGAAAAGGCAAGGTTTTATGATACTGCGTTTTAACAAATAGAGTACCCATTAACAGTCTCTTGAACAGGATCAGATCAGTACACACATATTAAAACATGACTTCAATGTAGTTAATATCTTCTCGTTTATAAATATAATTTTTTTGCAGATAGTATTTTTTGCTATATATGCAAATTCTTTTGTTGTTATCTCTCGCCGTATCATAAACCGATAATTACATGCATCTACTTTGTTGTACGCGACGGCATTAGCAACAGCAATTCTCGAATATCGAGTGTTTGATATGACTTCTCGTGATTAACAACTTTGTAGACAAAGACGTGAAGATTTAAAGATGGTGGTATATAATTATTCCCTTGGTTATTCTGAACTAACGTAACGGCATCTCTATTTTGGTGCTTGATTATCATTCTGCTATGTTAATATTCCCAAGCTTTACTGTTACCGCCACCCAATATGTGTTTACATCATCAATATTCAATGGTTTTATATACTGTAAATGATTCACGAATAAATCAATTAATTATATATTCACATTGATTTATCAGCAAATCACTCATTTCTTGCGTAGATACAACATTTACATGTTTAAAGGCTATCCATTGCACGCTTAACTTACAAAACAAACAACAAAAATCTACAGTTCTACAAAATAAATCTAATAAAGTACATTTAACCAGCTTTTTTCTTAAATGCAGTAGGTAATACCCCAACCAACCTCTTCCTACCCTCCCCACTTCCATGGACGCCCGGACCAACCATAGCCTCGACTACACCCCAAATAGAAACGACGAATCCGAGGAAATATACAACCAACATGAAAGCAACTGGTACAAAATCGCGAAACACCGACGACACCTGCCCATTAGGCGAATTTACCGCTCGTCCAATAATATCCGACAGAACTAAAGAGATAATAAATAAACAATACACGGTCATCACTAACCCCTCCCGCACTCTTGCAGTTCCAAGTCTCCACCACTTGGCCCCATAGTTAACCTCGTGAAATTCCGACACATCAACTCTTTTCTTTTCTCCAAAAAACAAAGAAAACACCATCAATGGTGAATAATAAAAAATAGTAAACGCTGAATAAAATCCCTTGTTCCTCAATTCGATGGCCGTCCAGATAGTAACAATGACAAGATAGACGAGCAAAAATACTACTGGTGCAATAACCCAGCCGAAAATTTTCAATCCCGGGTTTTTACTTTCCACCACTTCACCTTCCGCCGATGTCTCTCGGGAGAGAATCCTATAACATGCATAGATAATGTTGAATGCAAACAGCTGCGAGAACCAGGCAACACGAGACATGATTTGAGCTCTAGAAATGGTACGACCAAAGGGAGGGCTGAGGTAGGCATAGTTGGATGAAAACGACATTCCGCCGGCTGATGTACCGCTTACGAGCGTTAGAGGTAAAAGGTCTGCCGAATCGTGGTATTGAGAGTCGCGATAAGAGTCACGATAGGATTCCTCTTTCGAACGTCGTTTCGATTGATATGGATCGTCTGGGTTACGATATTGTATGGAAACTTCTTTTTTGACGTCGGATTGATGCGTTGGTGGAACTAGGCAATGTTAAAGAAAGTGTCGAAATGTCGTGTGAATAAAATATAATCAACGCATATACAAATGATTTATGCTCAACAAACTATGATGCTGTAAAAAACTCACTCACCTGCTCCAATACCGCCTCCAATTCCCTTCTCCATTTTTGATACACTAGTCACTTCTCGACTTGTGATATTCTTATCTGCAGAACCCAGTAAATTCAGTTGCCGTAACCCATGTCCATCCATTTTTCTCGTTGTTAATTCAGGTACTTCTACGATGTTTGTAGTCGTTGTACTTGATTTTATTGTAGGTACGGCCAATCCTCCTGTTGCTGCATCGGGCCTAACACCCATGCTTCTTGTCCCATACCCTGGAGTAGGACTAGTCGACAATACACCTGAAGTAATTATCCCTTTACTATCTTCAGTCTGTGCTGGTGGTCTTCTAACTGCCGGACGATAATCCTCTTCGCTATCTTCCTCCTCAAAAAGGTACTCTTCGTCTACACTCGGACGAGTTTGTATTGATTCCGCAGCTCCTGATATTTCAGACCCATTGTGGTCATGTAGGCGCGGGGCTGGCAAGGTGAAGGAGCGACTTGGCATTTGTATTGGTTGGCGGTTAGAAAGGATTGATCCTTGCTGAGCTGCTGTCGGCGCTGGAGCATTTTCGTCGCTGTCACTATCGGAAGAAGACGCGTCCAGGTTGTAGATTGGTATGGTATGTAGAGACTCTGAAGGCCCTGTGCTCTGTGTGTCGTCGAATTGTTCCATTGGCGTGATCTGTGTTTGCAATTAGTAGCGTTAGAGATTTTGAAAGAGTTGATCTAACGCTGAGCGAGAAAGCTGACCTTTTGTTCTCGGTGAATTCTTTTGGTTAAACCGCTTATTTAGACTAATCAACTGGTTTTGAGGTTGTTTTATTCATTTAACGTACCAATTTGATATTAAAATGTAGAAAACTGGAAGAGCTAACACGAAAAGAGGTTAAAAGGGGCAGGGGCGGGGGGAAGTAGAAATCTTTGGGTTGCTTTTCTGTGTCACATTCTGAATGAACTCCGCGCCACGTAATTGTAAAGCCAAAAGGCTTATTTGCTTAGCCTTTTTTTTTTTTTAGCAAAGCCATTAAACATATTAATATGAGGTGAGCCCCCCGGATTACCTGGTCTATCTATGGGTTGCATTTTGTACTAATTAGGTTGAACTCGATAGTTAATGTTTAGGAAACGAGCCCCAAAAAGCTGAGCTATGTGGCGGAGTTTAGAACAGTATTGCCGTGTAACATACAACGATCATCTTCGTGACAAAAACTCCCGTAGGTTACAATGTTGCAACTCTGGTAACATGACACGTAACTATGAAAAAGCTGTTTCCAAGTCGGTTAATCAATGTCGTATTCAATCATTTTAAGAAATGTAAACCAGAAATTCATCATGGTGCTGTACCTCTTGATTGTATCCAAGTTAATATGTACTTGTCAATAAAGATCTAAAATTCTCTTCCTCACTTAATTCATTGGATAAGATTTGTGTTTATGACCTTTTTACTCATGAGACAGACAGTTTGGATCAGAGTCTGCTCAAGGTAGAGAATTTGCGATTATATCTATAGTATACAGTCAACCCTGTTTATACCGGAATCTCTTTATACCGGACGGACTGATTCTTGCGCACCGTTCGTTTCATATGAAAATTCTTTGTTTATACCAGAGTCTCTTATAAACTTTCCATATACCGGTTCCGGAAGGACAGCTATAAACAGAGTTGACTGTAAGTCACATTACTATTATGGATGCTCATTTTCTGTAAAGTAACTTGACAGTACATATTTCTGATATCACAAAAAATAAGAATGTTGATCTTTCAGAAAGACAATGACCAAAAGCATACAGCAGCCAAATATTTCGCACTTATGTTAATTCTCAACTTTCGAATAGGAAGCGCCAAATTAAAACTTCTCTTGGTTCATGGGGAAAAGGAAATTGCTTATATATTTCTAGATAAATTCATGTATGACTAATATAAAAAATCACCCTTTGTCAAAATGTCACCATAAGTGCATGGTCGGATTATCTATACTGGCTAAATCGGTATTACTGGAGACTTTGATGCCCACAACAATATACAAACGCGTCCTGAAATTGCAATCAATGGATTATGATATTGGAATTTGTTACTATTACTGCAAGCGATCCCAGAAGGAGAAGAAGAAGAAGAGCAGAAATCAGGATAAACTCGACGCAATAGCTACCAATGGAAGAGAAGTTAATTTTCGCACCAATATTCTCTTCACAATTACTCAGTCATTGGGCACTGCTTCACAGCCCGTCGCTCACGTCAATTCATTCATTGCATCATTGTTCCACGCGTATGAGCTCTAGCGAATCATCAGGTCGGAGAACAAATGTTCGCAGACTTTTAACAGCCGCGTAATGTTTACGAACATAGCATGCACATTGTCAAAATGACTTTGCTGGATTTGTTACCACTTCGACAGACAGTAAGTGTTCGCTGATTGTCAAAGTTACTTTTACAAAGCTAAAGGTCTAATTTATTCTATGATACATGTTATTGAAAATAATGATGTACTCAAGATTGTTTACTTTGTACCTAAACGTGGCCGTCGCTTGAGCACGACAACTGTTACTATGGAATTTAACGGCATAAACAGCTCTTGTTGCTTGCAGGTACTATTTCATTTTTTTCAAGTCAAAATTTTAAAATAAATATAAACGAATTAATAAATTCACAAGAAAAATGATTAAGTGCTGCCACGCAATTCAAGTTTTCGATCAATTTCCCTTTGAAAAAAATTTGTAACATTGACATACGTGATGCTATTCACGAGCTGAAAAATTTTGTTTATCAAGGCAAGTTTCATTTTGGCGTACACATCTCTCATATAACGTATTCTCTACATTATTCAGAATGATGGTGGAGAAAAAGAGGAGATTCTATGCATGAAAAGAGGAACATGGAAACTTCCATATAGCACAACATTCAGGCAACTAAGAATTAATGAACAAATCGGACAAGGAGATAAACTAGTTTTTGCCAGACAAAAAAGATGAGCCTGTAAGGTTATGAAAAGAGTATATTTAGTTAGACTAAAGTTTGAAAGTAAATCAAAATTTAACTATAATAATAATCATTCCAATGGTTGTCCAAGAATCGTCTATACTTAGTAAATACACCCTACTTAAGTATTATGTTTAGTCAACAATTCAACAAACACGACTACAAGAGCACCATACGTTTGCCATTGGGACGTGAATAACAATGAAATCTGGATTGGAACCATCATATTACTCTTACAACGTTGTGCTTACCGCATTGTCGGATTAGAGTAACAACACACTTCACAACCAAGACATAAATCGAATTTTATAGTAAATAGTGTATTGCTATTACTACTGCAGTTGTCCTCCTTATTTTATCCAAGGAGGAAACGAAGTTATTGCCAACTTCTCATATAATGACCAAAATGCAAGCTGCAAGCTTATGGAATCGTAATAAAGCAATTGAGCCAAAACTGTCTTTGACTAATGCTAGGCGCCAAACCCTTTTTTCTTGACCGTTATAATTGAACCACGTTTTGAATGGCCAAACTTTTCCATTTGCTTTTAATCGTTGGCTTTACATTCATATGGTTGTGACATTCTTTGGGATTGAAGGCATATTAATAGCTTTGCCCTGAGTGCTTTCCTTCTGCAAAGTTCTGTAGATCTAGCAGTTATCCTGATAATGAATTAAGAGTTAACGATTATTATGCATAATGCAGACTGCTGTATGATCACGTTTCTGTTATGTTAACCCCTGAAGTGTTTCTGTGGCGTCAATGTTTTTTAAAGAGTTACTTAGCAGTTCGAGTTCTGAACGGAATCAGTCATGCTGTCGAATCCAGACAATGCCTCCGCCGAAGATGCAGCAGGGACGTCCAACGGTCAGTTGCCTTCAACTGAACAGCGCGATCCAGCATACTTTTCATATTATGCTATGCTTCAGCACCAGGTACGTGTTTTGCAAAAGGGCTGGTGCCATCTGTCGGACTATTTTATCTGTTCTGATGCTTTCGAAAATATGTTTAATAGCAAAACATGCTTCAAGACACGGTCCGAACGTCAACGTATCGTTCGGCCATCCTCTTGAATGGGCCCACCTGTTTTCATGACAAGCTTGTTTTAGATGTTGGAGCCGGTACGTCTTCTGCTGCTTCCTCATATATACTCTTTAGATGCTTCTTTAAAAGAATGGTGAAATCGTAACAATAGATCTATCCGTAAGGTTCGGGTATTCTCTCTTATTTTGCCGTGCAAGCGGGCGCACGCAAGGTATACGCAGTAGAAGCCTCCCAAATGGCACAGAAAATGAAAAAAATCATCGATGCGGCCAACCTGCCCTCGGACCATAAGATGGCTAAAAATGTGTTCTTGAAGGACAAGATAGAGATAATTCAAGGTAGAGCTAAGCACAACGCGGCGCCTCAATGTCAGCAAACGAAGACGTGTTGCTTGAGTCGCGTTATTTTTGCTTGTATGCAGCCAAAATAGAGGAGCCGGATCTTCCTATTCCAAAGGTGGATACGATTGTTTCTGAACCGATCGGAGTTTTGCTTATTCACGAGAGGATGGTAAGGGGAAAAAATTCAACAGTTTTGATGATATTATTCTATAAATTACTTGTTTTCGTTCTAAACGGTTCCATTTTTTATTCTGCAGCTAGAAAGCTTTCTGTACGCAAGAGACAAATTCCTTAAACCAGGCGGGAATCTTTTCCCTGCAACGGGCATGATACATTTGGCACCATTTACTGACGCTGCCTTGTGGACTGATACCATGGGTAAAGCACGATTTTGGGAACAGAATTCGTTCTACGGTGTTGATCTATCGGCTCTTTATAATGATGCCAAGGACGAGATGTTTGGTAAGCAACATGTTTATACGGGATGTAGTAACAATTGTATTATTCTAGTCTACCGCATATTAATTTCACAATTGCCACGTTAAGGTATGCCTATTGTTGGCAGCTTCGATCCTCGCACTTTGATTGCATCATCAACTCCTGGGGGTTATGCTATTGATTTCTACACGATTACGTTGAGCGAACTTCAAGACTTTGTCATACCGTTTGTATGGCAATCAAGTTATACGGGAATAATTCATGGAATAGCTGGTTGGTTTGATTTACATTTTGCTCCTTCACCGCTTGGACTTCCCGGCACAGGAATTGACATGACAACAAGTCCTTTGGCCGAACGGACGCATTGGCAGCAAGTCAGATTATTGCTGAAAGAACCTCTAGCCGTGAATGCCGGCCAGTTGATTAGAGGCTGGTTACGTTGCGTAGTTAATGAAATGCGTTCATACAATCTAGAAGCTGAATTGGTAGTTGGAGATTGTTATCTGTCTCCTCCCAATGCCCCCGAGCCGTTGACTAAGGACTATAATCGACGTCGTTCCAAATGGCAATTACACGAGCAGACGTACAATTATAGCTACTATCCGCAACCAGACGTAACGTTTAGGCCAGAGTACAATTGTTTGTACGAACCTGAACAGTCTTTGGATGTAACAGTTGTTGTTGGAAATGATATCGAGCAGGATCCTTCTGTTTTATAGGATACACGTATACATTGGGATTTATCAGAGAAGTGTAAAGTCCATTGTCCTTACAACGTACGCGTGATTACAACGGTCCTTTTTTTGTATTTATTCATGACGTTCAGTACAATGTTGCAATATTATGTTCCCATTTATGATAATATCAAAAGTAACT